TATATAGCAGAGATGCTGATTCTCAGTCCACTGTGGATTTTGTTAATGTTTAAGGGTAGATGCAGACAGTATAAAGAATAAAATATAATTTGATGTAAAACTTCCTACATCTCCTCCCAGGAGCACTTGGTCATGTTGATATTTTTGAGCTGATTCTTTTTAGAGCAGTGGTTCTCAACCTGTGGGTCGGGACCCCATTTGGGGTCGAACAACCATTTTACGGGGGTCGCCAAACAACGCAGTCCGCCATTTTTTCCCTCTTTTCCTTAGCTGTGCTACTCCCTTTTATTCTATTGGCTTTTGAAAGCCAATAGAATAGACTCTCTTGAATAGAGTCTAATTCTATTGGCTTTCAAAAGCCAATAAGAATTGTCCAGGCTGTCTCTGCCCTGCTGAGCCCACCAAAAGTCCCATTCTGCAAACGGTGCTGCATCAGTTGAGTAGTCCTCGACTTACGACCGGTTGGGGGTTGCGGCATTAAAAAGGTTGAGAACCACTGTTTTAGAGGATATTTTGACTGCATTGTCTCCTGATGCTCATGTTCCCACTCTCTGCTACCCCCTTGACCAGTTAGGGCGAGCCTTTTAGAGATCGAGTGCCCAAACTGCAACCCAAAACTCACATGTATTGAAAGTGCCAGGTGCGCGTAGCCCATTAGGAGGGTGTGGCTGATTGGGTGGGCGTGGCCGATTGGGTGGGTGTGGCTGCCGTGGTAACGGCAGACTGGGTGGAACTAAAAAGTTCAATCAATTCCAACTTTGCAAGATCTTTTTTTTTCCCATGAGTAGTTGAAATTGATTGATTGATTGAACCTTTTTTTTTTTTTGCACATGGCGGTGGAGGCCTAAAGTGAAAAGGTTTTATAAAACCCAGCTAAAGGTCTAGGACTGGGGCGACAGCATGCGTGCCCACATTGAGGGCTCTGTGCTACCCATGCCATAGGTTCGCCACCATGGTCCTTGACTATCTATAATTCCCAGTCTAAAAACACCCCAGAGAGGAGTTCTTTCCTCAGTCCTCCCCTTGAAATTCAGTGGTACACTGGGAAGATGGAAATTGTAAAGGAATAAATTCAAGATAGTGCAAGAAAAGCCGGACATTCACAAATCATCTTGGCCAGTTGTGCAAATCAGTAACTTGCAAACCAAGGTATGAAAAGATAGCCTTTTCGTACGTCAAAATCATCTCAGAAACAACAAACAGAGCATTACAAATACTCTGCATCAATGTAGCACAAACCAACTAAAGCAACCCAAAAATATCTTAAGCAAACCAGAAGACCCAGTAGTTACACAAGAAAAAAACCAGGAATCTTCTATAAAGTAAGCACTGTAACAGACACTATATAGGACAGATAGGCAGATGACTAGTAAAGCACATCCATGGACACCAATTAACAGTCAGGAGACATGATGAAAACTCCTTAATTGCACAACACACTGACAGACTTCATCATTGTTTCAACTGGGAAACTGTTAGCATCCTAGACCAGAGGCCCCCAACCTTTTGGGCACCAGGGACTGGTTCCGTGGAGAAAGGTTTTTCCACAGACCAGAGACTGCATGGTTTTGTGTGCTGCTCATGGATAGGGCTTTGCTTCTTTGTGCAGCCTGGTTGCTGGCCTGCTGCAACCCAGTACTGATCCAGTACTAGGAGCAGAGGGTTGGAGACCTCTGCTCCTAGACCAATTAAGTCCAAAACGGCTAGACAATTCCTGGAAGTCTGGCACTCAGACAAATCAGCCATCAACAGGCACATAGAGTTAAACAACGTCTACACATCATTCAAAAGGGCCAATCAAAAAGACAAAGGAGAGAAAAAGGAAAGAAAAAGACCAAAACCCCTCCTCAACAGAAATCAACACCCAAACGAGCAGAGATGAATACCAAGGCTAACATTTGATCAACAACCAAGCTGTAAAAAATACACCAATCAAGGAACTACCAACATAGACAATCGAAAAATAAACAATGGTCCAATCAAGGAAACACCATGAACACTGATGGGGCAAATCATCCTATGATGGGTCGTGGGAAGTTTCCATATATAACTGAGAGCCACAGATACGAGAGCTAGTTTGGTCTGATGGTTAAGGCATCAGGCTAGAAACCAAGAGACTCTTGTGGAAAAATAAAAGCCTTAAAAAATAAAGGACTTTTATGAATTCCAAGGGTGAAAGAGAGGTTTTTATTTTTGCGCAAAGGTTCAGAAGTGAAATTTCTGAACAAGGGGGAGGGTCTAAACTAAAGCTTTATAGGTTTCTTTTTCTTAGGAACAAAGGAAGCATAGATGGAATCTTACATTATATACGGAATCTACTTTGTATAACATTCAGATAGTTTCTCACAGTTAGGTCCATTTCTCATGGGAATACAATGAAGGCAGTTTTTACTTTTAAACAATGTTTCTAAATATGCATTAGGTCATTCACGTACTGTTAATACAGCTTTTTGCTAAAACAGCTTTCTTTCAGAAATTATGCAGACACATGATTTTTGCTTTTAGTGATTTTTCATCGTCATCATCATCATCATCATCATCATCATCATTATTTATTCTTCTTTATTCTATGTTATTCTATTTCTTTCCCACTTTAAGACTGTATGTTCTAGTCTGTCCTTAGGCATGAAAACAGCTGGCTGACTTTGGATCAATCACCAGGAGTTCTAGTCCTGCCTTAGTTATGAAAAACAGCTGGGTGACTGCGCCAATCACCAGGAGACTGTGAGTTCTAGTCCTGCCTTAATCATGGAAACTGGCTGGATGGCTTTAAGCCAGTTACTCTCTCTCAGGACAATATACCTTATAGCAGGGGTCCCCAATCCCTGGTCTGTGGACCAGTACCAGGCCGCGGCATACCAGCAACAAACAAGCAAACCCCATCTGTGGGATGCAGGCAGCACACAAAACCACACATCTGCTGGTCTGCGGAAAAATCTCTCTCTATGGAACCGGTCCCTGGTGCCCAAAAAGTTGGGGACCTCTGCCTTATAGGGTTGCTGTTGGGGGGAGGATAGGAGGAGTATTAGTCATGTTCACTGCCTTGAGGTATTTAAAAAAAAGTACAGGGAGCAGATAAATAAATGGAACAAAATAATATGAAATAAACATGAAAGCGTTAACAAAAATCTCGCCACTTTAATAAGAGATCTGCTGACGGTTCTTTTCTTCTCCTCCTCGTTTTTCTTCAAAACTGACTTCAAAATGGGCATTTATATTACAGTTCAGAGAAAGTGGCCTTCACACAGAAGATCCTTTGGCTACATCTCTCCCTAAATGCTCATTTTCGGCCTTGAAAATTCAATACATGCCGTCCAAGAGGAAATTAATTTCCAATGGAGAGGGTAGTGATTGCAAGCCAAATGGACTGTAATAAGCTGCCACGTATGAGATATGTTTTCTGAGCTTAAAAATTGTCTCTGCTCAAAAAGAGAAAATGCGCAATTCTTTATTATGTACTCTCTAAATCAGTATAGGTAGTTCTCGACTTAGAACCATTTGTTTAGTGACTGTTCAAAGTTAGAAGGGCACTGAAAAAAGGACTTTTCACATTTAGGACCTTTGCAGCATCCCCGGGGTCAAGTGATCAGAATTCAGTTGCTTGGCAACTGGCATGTACTTATGATGGTTGCACTGTCCCAGGGTCATGTGATCACCATATGTAACGTTCCCAGCTGGCTTCCGACAAGGAAAGTCAATGGGGGAAAGAAAGTTAGATTTGCTTAATGATGCATGCTTCACTTAACAACTGCAGTGATTCATTTAACCGCTGTGGCAAAAAGATCATTAAAATGGGGCAAAACACACTTAACAAGTGTCCTTGCTTAACCATGGAAATTTGGGGCACAATTGTGATTGTAAGTCTATGACTACTTTTATAGAATAACAGAGTTGGAAGGGACCTTGGAGGTCTTCTAGTCCAACCCCCTGCTCAAGAAGGAGACCCTATACCATTCCAGTCAAGTGGCTGTCCAGTCTTTTCTTAAAAGCCTCCAGTGATGGGGCACCCACAACTTCTGAAAGCAAGCTATTCCACTGGTTAATTGTTCTCAGTATTAGGAAGTTTTCCCTTAGTTCTAGGTTGCTTCTCTCCTTGATTAGATTCTATCCATTGCTTCTTGTCCTGCCTTCAGGCGCTTTGGAGAATAGCTTGACTCCCTCTTCTTTATGGCAGCCCCTGAGATATTGGAATACTGCTTATCATGTCCCCCCTTGTCCTTCTATTCATTAAACTAGACATACCCAATTCCTGCAACCATTCTTCATGTTGAGATTGTGCCAGATATCCCATTCTCTACATATAGGAAAGGCAGAAGTGAAGCAACATCTACTAAGTTAGTACAGGATCTCCTGCTTGAGCAGAGGGTTGGACTAAAAGATCCAACACCGTGCTAGGCTGCATTAACAAAAGGATAGAATCAAGATCACGTGAAGTGTAAATACCACTTTACAATGCTTTGGTAAGGCCACACTTGAAATACTGCATCCAGTTTTGGTCACCATGATGTAAAAAAGATGTTGAGACTCTAGAAAGAGTACAGAGAAGAGCAACAAAGGAAACTGGAGGCTAAAACATATAGGGAACGGTTGCTAGAATTGGGTATGTCTAGTTTAACGAAGAGAAGGACAAGGGGGGGGGCATGATAGCAGTGTTCCAATATCTCAGGGGCTGCCACAAAGAAGAGGGAGTCAAGCTATTCTCCAAGGCGCCTGAAGGCAGGACAAGAAGCAACAAATGGAAACTGATCAAGGAGAGAAGCAACCTAGAACTAAGGAGAAACTTCCTGACAGTTAGAACAATCAACCAGTGGAACAACCTGCCTCTAGAAGCAGTGAATGCTCCAATACTGGAAGTTTTAAAGAAGAGTTTTTAAGAACAGCCATTTGTCCGAAATGGTATAGGGTTTCCTGCCTGAGCAGGGGGTTGGACTTGATGACCTCCAAGGTCCCTTCCAACTTTAATATTATTATTATTGTTGTTGTTGTTGTTGTTATCTCCAAGGTCCCTTCGAACTCTATTATTCTGTGTAGAAGTGGTGATAACCTCAGACCTTTGTGCAAAGATGGTATGGGTGAAAGGGAAGGCAGAGACGACCTGGTGGAAAATAACTTCGTTCTAAAACTAGGATGCACATTTTTTTTTTATTTTGAGAGCTTGCTCATAGTCACCACCTCCACTAAGAAAAACCAGAAAAAAGCAAAAATCCTGGAGTGTTCTTGGCCAGGATAAAGAAAAAACTAAAAAAAAAAAAACCAAAACTAAATAAAGTTATTTTAACTGACATTTAATAAAATTAAATGGATGAAGTAATGGAGCCTAATTGTGCAATGGAGTTTCTGGAAGTGCTTTAAAGTAAGGGTCCCCAACTTTGGCAACTTTAAGACTTGCGGACTTCAACTCCCAGAATTCCCCAGCCAGCAATGTTTTTAAACCATTCACCGTGGCTGGCTGGAGAATTCTGGGAATTAAGTCCACAAGTTTTAAAGGGGCCAAGGTTGGGAACCTCTGCTTTAAAATATGCTCCCAGGTGTGAGACAACACATAATTGGCCCTCCTATGACATGGGAAGCTTGCCTGCATTATGACAGTTCAGCTTCCTGAACTGTCCTTGGTTTAAGGCAGTGTTTATCAACCTTGACAGCTTGAAGATGTGTGGAGCTCAATTCCCAGAATTCCCAGCCAGCCATGGTGAATGCTTTAAATCCATGAAGTTTAATTAAAATGAATTCATCTTTAGGTAAGACAGCTGATTGTGGGTGGGTGGATCAATTTATGGATGAGTTAAAAAATGCTCTTTTTTTCTGGACACACTCCAGGAGTTGCTGGCATTAGAACTTGGAACGCTAATCTGTGTGGTTGAGTTGTAGAAAAAAAAAGTCCTTTTCCTGACAGTGAAACTCTGTCAAGAATTAGTTTTAGCCTGACTTCCGGTTCTGGATCGCGGCGCCTCTAGTCGTATAAAGAGATTCGTCTCCTCTTCGGCCAGTTTCCCTCCGCCGGTAGACCCTTATGCAGGTTAAAAGTCGCCTTGGAGGGTGTGACTTCCATCGACGAGGCTTCGCTTGGCTGTGGAGGAGCGGCGGGTCCTCCAGCTGTCCGAGCCAACTCTGAGGGCCGACGGAGAAGAAGATCAGCCAGTAAAATGGCCGATCACCCAACCACTCCAACCGCAAGTCAAAGAACATCTAAGCACTAAGAACCACCGTGGTGAACCCGGGTGAGACTTTTCCCTTGCTTCTCTCTTCACTCTATCCTGCTTTTTTTTTTTTGCCTGTAAGAGCCTTGTTGGAATTATTTCCCTGCCTTGAAAAAGCAGCTTCTATATGTCTGGGAAGAAAGGCATTGAACAAAAGAATAGAGCAAAATTTTAAAGACTATACTTTATTCTTATTTGCTTTGGGGTACAGAAAAAACTCTTTCCTAAGAGCTGCCCTATCATTTTATGCTGGAAGATTATTTCTTTTTCCACATTTTATTTTAAAAGACAGAAAAAAGGGAAAAAATGGTGTCTGGAAAATATTTTTTTTAATCTATTGAGGACATCTAGTGGCGAAAACCTAATATGCAACTTTTGGTTATTCTTTGGAGATGGAATAGACTTGACCTTCAAATTACTTTTGAAGAGAAAAGATAAGCTGATGCAACTGTGGGAATTGTGGGGGTGGATACTGCTTAACTTTTATTAAATATAGCCTCCACAAAAAGAAAAAAGAAACTCTCTTCAATTACTATTAAAATGGAGAAATCTCATTCACAATTAAACTGCAAACTTATATTGGAAAAGATCTATGAGGCTGCTGCAGAAATATGTCCTACAATGAAAGCGTTTACTACAGAATTAAGAACCAGAAGTTTTACTTCAAACCTTCAAACTGATCTCCAGACCACATCTGACCATCCTATAAATCAAAACATACTAGAAGAGGTAACAACTGAGATTAAGAGGAATTTATTTTACTTTATAAACATTCCATCTATAGCTTTGAGGATCAGAAGAATCAAAGATTGAGACGTGAAACTTTAAAGCAACGAAGCTTTAAGGATGAGAGAAATAGATGCCTAATGCAGAGGATGGGATTCCTATCTTCCAAAAGGCACTGCAAGCAATAAAGAGAGATCTATTGGCTGAAAGGGAAGCTTGGTTATGGAAACTGGCCTGGCAAAGAAAGAAGGCTAGAATAAGACTGAAAAGAGAAATTTAAAATTAAATTTGTTTATGGACTGTTTTAAGGATTAAGATTCAGAGTTAGAAGTAAGAAGAATGTAGTTTTTGGAATAATAGGTTTATTTTGATAAAAATTATTATGTATGTAAATGGTGGCTTTTTATATCTGGATTGTTTCAATAATTAATTGAGTGTTTTAACTTAGTAAGATGATGTTTTTGTCTGATAATATAGATGTGATAAGGCATGATAATCAATTGGATGAAATTTGAATTTTGTTTAATGAACTGAAATGATTTAAGGTTTAATATTATTTTGTTATCTTAAAGAGATTGATCGATTGATGGATTATATATGTATAAGGTAGATTAATATTTTATTTTAATTAGGATATGTATTGTGTAGTGGAAGAAGAAATAAATGAGACTTGTGATAAAATGAGGGATGTGAGAGATTAAGAATTAGAATATATCTGGAAGGGATACCTGAATTGATAACCTATCGATTTAAAGTTAAATTTGATTATGGTAATTGTAAACTTACAAAGTTTTAAAACAGATTTAGCAGTTATAGAAATTTAAATTAGAAATGGAACATCTTAAACATATTATGCTATTTGAGGGAAATAGAGAGGGGACATTGAATGTATTGAGTTGAGTTATTTATATATGGTTTTATTTTTGGATGTTTGATTACCCCAACACCATGGTGTGTCCTGAGCACTTTGTTCTAAGAATTAAAAAAACCAATAAAATGTGTTTCAAAAAAAAAGAATTAGTTTTATCCTGCCTAGATATTCAAATCTTATCCATCACACTTTGACCTCATTGATTCTATCATCTGTCTGTCTCTCTCTCTCTCTTCTATCTATCTATCTATCTATCTATCTATCTATCTATCTATCTATCTATCTATCTATCTATTCACCATCCATTATCCCTCCATCTCTCCACCCCTCCATCCATCCATTCACCCTCCATCCATCTATCCATCTATCACATCCATCTATTCATCCATCCATCTCTCTCTCTCTATCCATCCATTCACCGTCCATTACCCCTCCATCCCTCCATCCATCTCTATCTCTATCCATCCATTCAACCTCCATCCATCTATCCATCACATCCACCCATCTCTCTCTCTCTATCCATCCATTCACCCTCCATCCCTCTATCCATCTATCATTTTCTTGGCAAGGTTTTTCAGAAATGGTTTGCCATTGTCTCCTTTTTAGAGCTGTGAGAGAGGAACTGGCCCAAGCTCACCGAGATGGCTTTGTATCTAAAGCAAGACTGGAAATCGTGATGATCTGATCTCTAGCCTACTGCCTTAACCACTACACCACACTTGCTCGCTGAAAGTAATAAGCCAGCAATAAGCCGGCTGCAGAAAGTTGGATCTTCATGTGGTGCACCTTGATCGAAGAACAGGAACTTAGAAGCTTTTTCTTTTAGTCCCTGGAATCTAGAAAGCTTGCTTCCCTACTTAATGGAAGCCAACAGTTTTAAGAAAGTTGAGGAGAGCAATAACATATTTGTACTTCCCTTCATTCTCCAGTAACAATAATTGAATCTCCCCTTGTGAGATATTACAGACATCCATTTGCTGTCTAGAAATTGATTACGTTCCTTCCATGTGTAGCTCCAATACCTGCCCAATCTGTTCATTCTTGGTTGCACACATGCCATATCTTGTAGTTTTTCTGTTTTTAAAAGAATAGCTAAGGTATTAACCAATTTCATACAGGGTTAGCTCCACTGATCTGTGAAGGAATTTAAAGCCACAGCAGAGTCATATTTTCTGGAAAGGAAAAAAACCACCACCCTATATTTCCCCATTTGTGCTGTATAGTACAGGTAGTCCTCGACTTACAATCATTCGTTTAGTGACCTTTCAAAGTTACAATGCCACTGAAAAAAATGATTTATAACCATTTTTCACGCTTAATGGCCATTGCAGCATTTCTCTGGTCACATGATCAAAATTTGGACACTTTGCAACTAGTTTGTATTTATGACAGTTGTAGTTTCCCAGAGTCATGTGATCCCCTTTTGTGACATTCTGACATGCAAAGTCAGTGGGGAAGCCAGGTTCACTTTACTATCATGCTACAGGATTAATATTAAAAGATTAAGATTACCTTTATTGTCATTTTCTTGTATATACAATGTCACCCATTAAAATGAAATTCTGATGCATCACTCTTGAAAGAAGTAACGCCACCCACCAAACAATGTTACCATCCCAAGGATGACAATAATAATATAATAACAGCAGCTGTCTCCAAAAATGCCAAGTTATAGAAAAATGATACCCAAAAAGTCATTAATTGGTTCTAGGAGTGTGACAAGTACTAAAAAGGACAAGTCCCAAATAAACCATATGACCCTTTGTTTCAGCCAGGATTAACTTTCTGTCTGTCCTTTTTCCTATGTCAGTGACCTTCTCAGCATGGCAGACTTCCTGTCCACGCTTTGTGGCTATCCCCCTCCTTTTGCAGCAGCCTTCCCAACATGGCCACCTTCCTACTCACCTTCTGTGGCTGTCTCCCTGCTGTTGCAGTGACCTTTCCAAAATGGCTGACTTCCTGCCCACCACCTGTGGCTGTCTCCCTCTTTTTGCAGTGACCTTCTCAACATAGCTGACTTCCTGCCCACCTTCTGTGGCTGTCTCCCTCTGTTTACAGCAATCTTCCCAACATGGCTGATTTCCTGTCCACCTTCTGTGGCTATTCCCCTCCTTTTGCAGTGATCTTCCCAACACGACTGACTTTCTGCTCACCTTCTGTAGCTGTCCCCCTCCTTTTGCAGTGACTTTCCCAACATGGCTGACTTCCTGTCCACCTTCTATGGCTGGTCTGTTTCCAAGTAAAAGGCATTGAGACAAGCAGGAGTAACAAACAGTCTTGTCTTTATTCCATTCACAACAGAAACACAACAAAATGGCGCGGATTGCTCTTATGCCCCTTTGCAGGGACAGTATCAGCCAATCAATGCAAGGCATTTCTCCCGCCTTGCACATGCGCGCAAGGCGGGAGACAGCCTTTCTGGTCCCGGGCATTCATGTGGTCTGCCTGGGCCTCTTTGCAGCCTCCTGCACTTACTGAGTGACTCAGCAGGCCCAGGACATAACAATGGCTATCCCCATCTTTTACAGTGACCTTCCCAACATGGCCAACCTCTTTTCCATTCTCCACAGCCTTCCTATTGCAGCACATTGAATAGTAAACAAACACTGGGACAACATTTTCATGTCAAAATGCATTGAGTACCAAATTCGACGAGGTTTGAAGGAGTTGAGTACCGAGGTACCACTCTCTATGTGTGTGTATGTGTGTGTGTATTAATCACAATCCATTTTGAATACATACACACTAGCTTAATAACTGCAGTGATTCACTTAACAATTGTGACCAGAAAAGTCATAGAATGAGCAAAGCTCACTTAACAAATTTCTCGCTTGGGCTCAACTGTGATCGTAAGTTGAGGAATACCTGTATTGGTTTACTCTTTCTAGTTTGATTACAAACACACCTGTTTGGTTTGCATACACCTGCATGAAACGGATTTGGAAACTCAGGAGCAATCAATGCCAGAGAAGAAGTAATTTATTTATTTATTTATGAGACTTATATACTGCTTTAAGTGCAAGCACTCTCTAAGCGGGGTACACCAGTAAGCAATGTATATATATATTTACATTGCCCCCAACAATCTGGGTCCTCATTTTACCTACCTCGGAAGGATGGAAGGCTGAGTCAACCTTGAGCCGGTGAGATTTGAACCGCTGACCTGCTGAACACAGTCAGCTAAAGTGGCCTGCAGTACTGAACTCTAACTGCTGCGCCACCTCGGCTCTTTAAAAATGTAATGTCATTTTTAAATCTGGGGAAGAATTGCCTTCAAAAATTGGTAAAAGAAAGGCAAAGATTAGAATTTCAATAGGCATTTGACAGCTTCTCTTCCCAGCCAACCCCTCACATTAGAAAATACAGATATGTTTCAAAAGAAGGAAGACTTTTATTGCTCTAAAACTGATAATTGAATGTTCTCTCTTTGGGAATCTCATGTGTACATGAGGAGACAACGCTTCCATTTTTATTATGAGATGATTAAATGGGCTGCTTATCACGTCCAGCATATCAGATCAGGCTTTTATAGAAAAAGAAAAAGCTTTTCTTTCTTCTCTATCCCCAAAAGTTTTGGAAAGCTCACAGCCAGAAAGACCATAGGCCTGGAATTGTAGTGAATGGTGAGAATAACCTTGGGAGACAGAAGATAAAATAAGAGATATCACAGCCCACAAAAGGAATGGGAATAGAAAAATGTGTCAGAAGCAGCCCTTCCTAACTCTCTGGTCTTTCCCTAGTTCTGTGGAAAGTAAATAGAGACAGAAGAATGGAAAAGAGCTTTCAGACCTGCAAGATTCTGTTAACTGCAATTTTATAATAAAGGTGTCATGGTTCTGACAGATGTTACTCTTCAAAGAACTTTGAGGCATTGTTTACCTTAAAGAATCTTTATTCAAGTAGCATGGCATTGGTACGTACATGGTCGAAGCCAAAATCTGAATTCCCCTCCCCTAAACACATAGTATCAAAGCACAATTCCCTCCTCCAATTAACAGTCATAAATCACATTCTCCAATTAGTTTGAACTGCAAAACCTTCCCACCAGTTCCATAACCTGCCATTTCTTATCGTGTCTTATTTCAAACAACCTTGAAGAATACTGCGATGTTACTTTATGATTTGTTTAATTATTGTAACCAAATTTGTATATGGTTTATTTGTGTTTAAATTTTTTTCTTTTAAATTTTAATTAAGCCTGTATTCAGCTCTGGGAAGGTTGGGGGAGGGTTGGGGTGGGTTGGGAGGGTTTGGGGAAGGGAACTTTTTTTGTAAAATTTTAAAAATTTTCAATTAAAAAAAAAGAAAAAGAAAAGAATACTGCGATGTTGTTATGTCTAACACAAACTACTTGCACCATTAAATATCTACTCTGAGAAATCCTAGGATGGAGCTGTCTTAACTCTTTCTCCCTCACACACTATCTAAACTTCCGTTGTCTCTTGATCCTCTGGAATACACCCCCTCCCTCCTGGGAATCCAGACTACATCCCATCCCACCAAGAGAAATTTGAAAGAAATTCTCAAGCTCCCTGGGAGTAAATAAGATGGAAAAACAGAACCCCTTTTGCAGAAGAAGAAGAAGTGAACATCAGGAAAAATGGGAAGATCAATTTCCGGATGATGCTTCCCCATAATCTAAAATGCTGCCATGTTTCATGTTCTGCTGGTACCACTGTGCCACCACAGCTATGTATGCGGTTTATTGAAGAACTAGAAAAGTTACAGCATAATTATCCTTACACAGCAATATAGAAAGATAATATGCCTAAAGGCAGCAGATTCTGTCTTGGTGCTGTTATACTTTTATTATTTTTATGATTTATGTTTTTTTTTTAATTTTGGATTACGGTATTTATTTGTTTACAAATGTAAAGGCTGCCCAATTACATCTACCTCTGGGCACTTAGGTAATAAAAAGACAGAACAATAAAAAAGAGAAATGGATTGTATGTGCCCAGGAAAAATGTATAAAACAACATTAAAATTTTAAAAAAATCTTTGAAAGGCTTATTGCTCCAAGACCCGAGAGAATATTCCGATTTTAAGCCTTCTTTGAAGCAACATCAGGATTGGAGCTATTCATGGGGAAATTTGTTCCATTTATATGTACATCACTCAGAATCCATGATTGGGTTGTCATGTAATGACATACAGGCAGTTCTTCATTAGTGACTGATTTGTTTAACAACTGTTCACAGTTGCCACAGTGATGAAAACGTAACTTTGCGACTAATCCTCACATTTACAGCCTTTGTGAGTATGTAAAGCAAAGGAAAGCTTTACATTTGTCCGAAATGGTATAGGGTATAGGGTTTCCTGCCTGAGCAGGGGGTTGACTAGATGACCTCCAAGGTCCCTTCCAACTTTATCATTATTATTATAAAGCTGAAGGAAGATCATAAGGATTTAGACTGCAAGCATGGCCACAGTTTTATTTAGCAACTGCTTTGCTTAATGACTAAGCTTCTATTGACAAGGCCTCAGTTGTGCTTGCCAAATGAGGACTGCCTGTAAAAGAAATAGATCTGTGCTCTATTAAATATAATAGTCTCAGTCTCATCTTCTTTAGCCAGGCACGCTGGCTGAGGAATTCTGGGAGTTGAAGTCCACAAGTCATAAAAGGGCCAAGTTTGAAGACCCCTGTTCTATAGGGACAGCTCAAATGAGAATTCTCCACTTTATTTACTCAATATTAACAAACTTATTTGCTTATAGATCTTTCCATCCAAGGATTAGTAGAGGAGATGTATTGATTTAAATT